AGCGCCATGGTTTACCTAAGGTAACGGGATTAAACGTACGGACAGGCATGAAACGCTTCTATCATCGCAATTGTGACGCGGAGCCGTGAGCCTCCATTAAGTTTGAAAAACGAACTGTCCAAAATTTTTGCCCTGCACATCAGCAATATTGTAGTATGCGCGCAGATTGGTTACATCCTGTAATAGGAGAGCAAATAATTGAAAATTTGTTTGCTAAAGGTGTAACTTCGAAACGTCAAATTAAAAACGAAACTATACGCTTTTCATTTGGTTTTCTATGCTAAGATAGGCCCTTTATATATGCTGTTAGCCTCAGTGCTGTGCACCCCAAACGAGTACAGAGCGGAGAATTGTTGCTTAAGTTATTGAAACACTAGAGAAAGCTATCATAACGCATCGGTGTATGCACAGTCAATGTACGTCGTTTGTACCGTTTGTCCTTGGGAAACCACAGCGCCACCACGCGTGCAAAAAAAGAGGGTGGGGGGGAACAGTGGTAGGGTAAGGCAAACAATGAAGACAACATAGCGTTTGAGATCGCACCTCCATCAATTTAAACAAGTCACTGCGACGCGACAGGACAGCATAAAAAACCAACGAATACGAAGAACATAGTCCTTACACAAATTCGACCAATCAGAAGAAAAAAAATATTAGAAAAAGAAACTCGACATCATGAAACCGTGCTGCTATTATTCATGCTGCAAGACGAAATCCCTTCCGATTGAAAGAATTCACATTCCATTTTTTTTAGGAAATGTATATCTCACGAACTTGTATGTATATCTCAATGTTGGAACCGGCGACAGCTTACAGCTACAGGCCGACCGAGAACTAATCGAGTCACAAGTTCTATGTGCAGTATGCGGCTAATTTCAAAAGGATGTTCAAAATATACTAGCTTATGAGCGGCTTATTAACTGGTGATCAGCAAATTGTTTTTTTTTTGTTAGCCCGTTGTCATTCTGTGTTAACTGCTAATATGTTATCAATTTGTATCAACTACAAAACCCTTATAGAGCCTTTTAGTTCAAGGCCTGAAGCGTGTGGGCAGCAGCTCGGTTCATTACGCAAGAAAAAAATACCCACGAAGGGAAGAAATGTGGGAGGTTTGGGCGGGCTTTACAAATATCTATAGATCTCAAAGCTTATAGTACAGAGCTAAAATATATATTTATATATTTATATATAATATATCTCCTCTATCGGTTTCTTTCTCTCTTTCAATATTTCACATGCACTCTTGAAAAAAAAAAAAAACAGTCTGCCTTCTCAAGCATAGTGCAACTTTAGACAGCGAACCACGAGTAAAAACGGTTTTTTTCGACGTTTCTTTATATCTCTCTTGCTACCACTTCCCATTTCACACAGCATTCATTCACAGCGGATAAAGTGCTAGTCGACTCTTACCGTCACAACAGACTTGTCTCGAGTCGACATCTCTAACCTTTCTATTTAAAAAATGGCACAACAGTCACGTGACAAGTGTTACGATGAATAAAAGATTAGTGCAGAAGAATCGACTTGATTGACACATCCTTTCCGAAAGTAAGAAGCGGCAAAGAACCTTAAAAGTAATGAAAAATACACGAAAGTGAGAGCCTGAACAGTGGGATTTTGACGTCGCATTGCGACAGAAATAAAAGGGATAGAGCGATTCTCTATGTACACTGACAGCATGATTTCAAATCTGTTTCCACTCGCAAGTTTCCAATGAACATTTAACATTTTAAAAAAAGATAATGACAGATTTCACACACCCCAACAAGAGGGCACTTGGAAGACAGCCCGCAGCGCAGCTGGAATATCTCTGAAGAGGGCGATCTCACAATTGGCCTCGTTAGGCCTAAGTCAAGCCTAACTCAGCGTAAGCTGAAGTTAGGCCTAACATGGCCATCCAAATACGGTTTTTTCGAGTGCCTCCCCTTTCGTGCCTCGTTTGAGAATTACCATTGAGGCAAGTGCCTCCGATGCTGATTTCACTTGAGATTGGATTAGGAAATACTGCCAAATTACAGAGTTGACGGCGAATGACGCTACCGGCGGGCATATAGACAGTGTGTGAATAAAGCTATCATAGTCCTTTACAAATATTAGAACAATAACGAGGCCGAGTGGTTATGCAAGTACCTCATTGTGTGCCGCTCTTAATTTTGCAACAGCTATAAGCATCCAGAATGAAAAAAAAAAATTTGCACGGTCAAAAGATAGTGCAACCGAGCATGAAGCAATTATACGAAAATGCAGCGGGATGATTTGACTGGGCATGAATAGTCTGGTACAAGTTACGACATTTATGTATACATATATATATACCCTCTTGATTACAAGATCGCAAGTGCGGTTTCAAGTATTCATGCACGGTGACTCAGTATTCACTTTTGTACAAAAAAAAAGAAAAAAAAAAATGATGTGCACTCAAAGATCCTGCACTGTTAAATCGATGAACCACGCGCATAGTGTCAAGCGCAAAGCATTCTTTGAAAAGGCGCCTTTGCCATGGCACGCAGTTAGAACCGTCGGAGAAAAGATTCCGGGCATTTCAGCAATGAGATTGTAAACAACGACAATTCGGCAGCGGTCGCCCTTTCGTAAATAGATATAAACAAGTAACAAATAAAGAAGCCATACTGGACAGGTTTACTTCAGCTGGGGAAGGAGAAAAGGTGAAATTAACCATGGTCTCAGCGATCGGAAGAAAGGAACGCGCGCCATCTGGGAAACCAAGTATAAAATAATTGGGTACGCATAGCTACCGACAGGCGGAGTGTGGACGTCGGAGGGCGTCACGGAAGTGACGTGGGCGCACCGCTACGCAACATCTTTCAGCGATCATCTGCAGTCATATTTAATATGACAGTCAAATCTTGCCCGTTCTTCTAAAATCGCACTGAGCGGGTGACGCAGAAACTTAGAGACGCAAAATTGGGGTTTAGAAATAGTGCTGGGCAACGTCGTTCAGCAAATATAGGTCGCAATGTTCACAGCCACATAATCTTGCCGATGTTGCTTGCCGTCTTCACAGCCAGATTTAGTTACCGCTCAGCCCACGATATGTTGAACAAATTCAGGATTGCTGTTACGTGACTAGATACCTGATGTCTTCAACAAGTACAATCTGTGCTAAGGACGCCCCGTGTTTGAAGCGTCAGGGTGGAGGAGTGTTGAATGTGACATAATGTTGAAACACTTACTACGAATGCGCTTCGTTTACACCGCAACGTAAAGGTTTTTTTTTTTCGTTGCTTAATAAGCACTGCCGTTCATTTTTCCCTAGCGCCATCGATAAGAATTCGGGACGGTTGCACCCCTGTTTGATGAAAGTGATGCGATGCTCAGCAGCTCAAGATAAAAGGGCAGTTGGTTTTTCACGTGAATTTAACTGCTTCACTCACGACATTTCTGGACTGTTATTGCTCTGGGTGAACGCGTACAGTCACATTGTCCTCGCCGTGGCCGCGGGCAGAATATTTAATAAAAGAAAGCGCCGAGACGACAATCTCTGCCAGTGGTCCCCGGTTGAATAATAAAAACAGAGGGAAAATGTAAACCCTTCTCACTTTTTTTTTTCTAGCCGCAAAAAAGATATAAATGAAAAAAAGCGAGCGTGAAAACATCGTGAAATCAAACCTCCTAGAAGTGATGAATCAATAATATTCAAAAAACGACAGTAAAATGCAGTATTATGTTCACGAGGTATGATCGCGTCTCTATACGTGCATTTAAACGGAAGAAAATGAAAAAAAGAAAGAAAGGTTACGAAGGGTGTCGAACTTGGTTATTTAGGTGCGAGCAAAACAAAGGCCTTCATCGCGCGTTTTCGCTGCAAGTGTGAACGATAAATACTTCCACTGGTCACCACAAGGTATGCGCGAGAAAAAAAAGCGATGAATATGGTCAAAAATCGCAGTCACAGCATTTTTTACAGACGCTACAAACAAATATTAGAAGGAGAGGGAGCAAGGTATTTAAAAAAAAGGACTTGGTAGGGAGAAGCACCAACGGCTCGGCAGATAGTGAGAGCGGTGCGAAAAGGAACGGTGTTATTGCACATTTAATGGAAGCGGACGCCATCGTTGCCATTGGCTGCTGCAGCAAATAAAACCCGTTGCCAATGGCGAGTCTAGCAACATTGACATTCGTCGTCTAGCAACAGCGAGACACGGAAAGCGGGCAGCGATCGTAACGCTAAGAGCCATGGCCACTCCCAGCTTAAAAGGCTTGGACAGCTGCTGAAATTCGGCAAAGGAGGAGAGAACACTACTGCGTCGATTTTCAAAGGCTCCGTGAAGCATTCAAGTCTGAGCACGTCGACTCCACTTCACAAGAGTTAACGACATCATGGCCACAGCGTCTCGATTCTCATGACCTCGCACGTGGGCTACCACTTACGAAGATTCACGGTTATTTCTTTCAAGGCATGTTGACTCGAAGTTCCAAGGAGTTATTGAATTTGACTTCATAGGCGTGTCGTCTATACATGCGCCGTATTGAATATTTACCTTTCGTTGAGAAGATGAAGAGGAAGAAGGCGTCAAAAAGAACGCGTGAGCTCTCAAGAAAGAAGAGAAAAAGGAAAGCCTATGCCATGGACTGTTTGCTATGATGTAAACAATGTAAATATAGTCTTGTTTCTTCAAATGCCATGACCAATTATATCACAAGCCGACTTGAATAGCTGACTGCTCCAGCTCAGCGTCGATTTAAAACCAGTATTTCCAAACAAAAACGATTGTCAACAGTTTGTTGTAGCCGATCACTTTCTGAGGAAGGGTCCACCGGTCGGGTACCACACCGGTATGATCAAGATCGAAATCGGGCGTCACTTCCACTCCAAAGCGGAAGTGCTGATGTAGTTTTCCTCCGGCGCCAGATTTCAGGCACTTTGGGCGGAGATTCACTTATACATATAACTTCTTTACAAGAGTGGCTGTACCTCTGCCACTGGGCAACAAACCCGACCGGCTGTCCAGACCTCAAAAATGCAACGGTAGACTTCAGCAATGTTCTACGCCCTATAGAAAATGCGCGTGAATCTTCTGACAGTGACCGACTTCAGCTAACGTTTTAGTGCGCCAGGCTGGCTTTTTGCCCAGCAGCAATGCACTGAATGAAGCCTTTTTGCACTGTAGAGATAATTTGTTAAATGTATATGCCAACCACACAATGCATTCTCTCCTCCTTTCCATGACAAGGCGGGGCCACAGCTTTCTCCCAAGCATGAACTACTGTACTGAAGCTCTTCCTTAACGCCCTTGAGCGAGACAGGGATATGAACACATGTTACCACCGAGGGTATCAGGTAAGGTCCACGATTGACAGGCCTTCAACACCTTAAAGTCTTTGAGAAGCCAGTGGACAAACAAAAATTGAAGAATCAGCGATGGAAAACAACACACTGCTGAGAAAAGAACGTGCCAACTCCATCGCCAAAGGGTGGGAGGCGGGAACAAGTCTGCAGAGGAGAGAGGCAGACAGAGTAGAAGACCACAGTGAATGATGAAGTCCGGAACAGTATATGAACAAAACACGCACGCACACACAGGTACACGCTCGCGCCGACGTACAGGCAGGCGCGACTCGCGATGACTCGGGGACTTCAGGGGTAAACGACGGGCTACCACTGCGAGAAGGTCGGTCACCGACGTTACGGCGGCCTCAAAAGTGTATTCAGTGCGGAAGAGACGCGACCCAGGGCTGCCCGAGGGCCGCTCGGCGCCACGACGCCACGAACGGGGCAGCGGCGGCGGGCCCCACGAGTCCTGTGCGAGGCGGCGCCAGCGACGTCGACGAGGGACGGCCTCGGCGGCGTCACGTCATGTCCTTCGAGTCGGAGTCCAGCGACTGGGCGTTCTGGTTGACGACGCACTTGCGCATGTGCTTCTCCAGCGTGCTGGGCACCGAGAAAGGCATGTCGCAGAAGCGGCACCGGTAGACGTCCTTGCCGACGCGCCCGTGGGTCTTCATGTGCCGCGTCAGCTTGGAGCTCTGCGCGCAGGCGTAGCTGCAGAGCTCGCACTTGTAGGGCTTTTCGCCCGTGTGCGATCGCCGGTGCACCGTGAGGTTGCTGCAGTTCTTGAAGACCTTCCCGCAGTACTCGCACGTGTCGTTGCGCCGGTCCTTGGGCCTGCCCAGGTGGGAGCCCATCAGGGCCAGGGCAGCAGCCGCGCCGCTTGGACCGGGGCGTGGGCTCAGAGTGCCCAGCTTGAGCTCTTTGGCCCGCTGCTCCAGGTCAGCGGCGCCCTGCTGGTGAAGGCCCAGGTAGAAGTCACGGTGGGCCATCGAGGGCAGCCAGAGACCGGCGGGAAAGACGTCGCGCTCTCCCGCCGCGGCCAGGTCCAGCTTGAGCCTCTTGCTAGCGGCGTCGCCATCGAAGGCTCCCAGAAGGCTGCCACCGAAGTCGAGCGCCGCGTGTGGCAGCGACTTGCTGCCCACCACGTCGGAACCGTTCTCGGCCATCGACGTGTCACTGCTGGGAGCGGCCGACCCTGGTCGCTCCTGCTTGACAGCGTTGCGCAGGGTGCCACTCTCCTCGAGCGCCTGCCGGTAGGCCTCGCTGTACTGCTGGATGTTAGTGAGGCCGATCTTCTCCATGACCTCGCCCAGCAGGGACTTGCGCTCGGATGGGCCCACAGAAGAGCCCGTCCCGCTGCCGCCCCGTACCGTGAGGTCCTGGGCCCTGTCAACGCCTCCAGCGCCGCTCTCGTCGTCCAGGTCTTCCTCTTCTTCCTCTTCCTCCTCCTCCTCTTCCTCCTCTTCTTCCTCGTCCATCTCCTCCTCTTCTTCCTCGTCCTCTACCTCGTCGCACGAGGCAGCACCATCCTCCGAGCCGTCGTCACCGTTGGTACGAGGACCACCGCCACCTGCGCCATCCGGCGTTGATCGGGCCGACTCGACGCTCGTGTTGTTGCCCGACCCGGGCGAGCCGCGGTGCGTCTTCATGTGTCGCTTGAGCTTGCTCGCCTGGGTGCACGCGTGGTTGCAGATGTGGCAGCGGTACGGCTTCTCGCCCGTGTGTGACCGCCGGTGCACGATGAGGTTGCTCTGGAAGCGGAACGACTTGCCGCAGTACTCGCACGACTTAAGCTTCGGGGACGCTGCGCGCGACGTGGGCGTGCCGTCCGACGACGTCTTGGCGGGCGCGGACGATGTCGTGGGCGTCAGCGGGGCTCCCGTCGTCGAGGTCGCGGCGCCAGACGCCGGGAACGCCGGCGGCGTGAGCTCCTTGCGCGGCGACAAAGGAGCGTTGGCGCTCCCCGACGTCGCGGCCTCCGAAGGACTCGATGCTCCTGCCAACTGTCGCAGCCGTTGAGAGTAGAAGTCCAGCTGGGGCTCGATGGCTGGCAAGCCGAACGGTGGTGCGCTCTGTGGCGTCGCAGACGGTCGGAAGCCGTCCCTGCTTGTGGAACCTGAAACACGCAACCAGGGGCCCGTTGTAACACCAGAAATTCCACATTAAGCTCCACACTGGCGAATAAATAGGAGGACCTTGAAACGTGTCATTCTTCCTCGTCTATATATAATTTGCTGCATATGTAAGGGACGACACCAGCGCGAATTATGAGAGTGTGTGAACCATTAGAAGCCAGAGTTAAAGCAACGCCTGAGCTCGGTAAACATGGTACATAAGGTAAATTGGCAGCTTGCGGCTTCTTACACGTAGCACGCAGTCGGTTTCATCCACATCGACCACCGGCTTTGCTACACTTGTTCGGCAACTTGTGTGAGAAAGAATTCGGTAAGTGAAAGAGAGAGAGACAATAAACGTCTTGAATATGCGACTACGGTAACTGTATAGCCACAGTGCCTGTAAATGTTGAAGTTCAGCTATAGTACGTGAAGGAAAGTAGCTCTTTCCATATCACACACAGTTTTTCGCGGTGGTCAGCGCAACTGCGACCATTTCGTAGACATTGCGGTGGCAGTTTTAAAGTGGAACACATAACAAATAAAGAAGGAATATTGCGCCTTGAAGTACCTGTGGCAGCTACCGCAGAAGACGATGACGATGCAGTCGTGGGCGGCACGGACGCAGTTGCGGACGCCTGGTTTACAGGTGGAAGGGGAACCTGCGGCCGCAGCTGGTCGGCCAGGAGGTCACCCACGCGGAAGTCGTGACTAGAGGCCCTCCCGAAGAGGCCCGCTGCCGCAGCCGCCGCGCCCGCCGCTGCAAACTGGCGCTCGGACAGCGGCATCCGCAGGAGCTGAAGTGCCGGGTGCGCCGCCGTGACGGGATCCACGACACCGGCAAGCGAAGGGACGCCAGGGCCAGCGGTGGAGGTCACCTGCGGAACCGTGTGCAAATACCAACTGTGTTAAAGATTGTAGCGTTTGACTGATTCATCGGCTGATTCATTGATTGAACATTCATTCATTCATTCATTCATAGTCTGAATGAATCGATCGAATGTCTTACTGGCAGATTGACACAAACAACCCAGTTGCACCTAGTACGAAATTTGCAGAACTAGCGGGGCTGCAGTTCATGTGCAGGTGCCTGTGATTTTTTTTATACTGTGTGGGTGTCTGCGATTACTTTATTTTCCGAGTCGAGATACATGGGGAAAACCATGAGGCGGCGTAAGTCGCAGCCGAAACCCCTATGGTGACTCACACTCGAGTCGCCCCGTCTCACTGTACGACTCTGGCTTCGTCCACGCATGCAGATGCAAATTGCGCCATCTGTGGGTTTATCTGGGAACCTGAGCGTGACCAGCCTATAGACACTCGTCTCTCGTCGGGCTCAGGCCTAGAATTCCGCTGTTATTATACGTTCATTAAAATTAAACAAGAGAAAAGAAACAGGATTGTGACTGATGCCCGGTTCATATGGACCAGCTAGGTTTGCTTGTGCACTCGAAATTATTCGCCAAGGAGGTTGTGCAGCACGGCTAAATGAAGCTGTGATGAAGGCATTGACGATTGATACGTGCGGTTTAACGTCCCAAAACCACCATATGATTATGAGAGACGCCATAGTGGAGGGTTCCGGAAAACAGGATTGTGACTGATGCCCGGATCATATGGACCAGCTAGGTTTGCTTGTGCACTCGAAATTATTCGCCAAGGAGGTTGTGCAGCACGGGCTTAATGAAGCTGTGATGAAGGCATTGACGATTGATACGTGCGGTTTAACGTCCCAAAACCACCATTATGATTAAGAGAGACGCCATAGTGGAGGGCTCAGGAAATTTGGACCACCTATGGAACAACAGTTACTGTCAGTCTAACGGGCCCGCGACGCAGCAGAGAGACTTGGTCTTTCTGTCCCGACGTGGAAGTGGCCCGAAACTTGCAAAAGGGCGTTACGAAGGACCTAATAAAGTTCATTCATTCATCCATCCTCTGCGAGTGTATTCGCAGCCTCCAAACGTTTTCCATCGTGTGAAGCGTGCTCAAATCAGAGCCTCTGAACCCCGCGTAGTGCCTCGCTTATGAGAAGTCTCACCTGAGGGACAGGTTCAGTGGAGGACGTCGGCGTCGACCTCGCCGATGGCGTGGACGAAGAGCCCACCGGAGTGGGCGGGGTGGGCGCCGGCAGGCCGCCGACAGACGGCTGCGCCGAGGACGGCCGGTGCAGCAGGGGAGGCGTGACGGAGGACCGGCCGCCGCTGCCCACCAGAGGAAAGAGTGACCCCGCCGCGCTGATGTTGGCGTCCACATAGATCTTGAGGCCGTGTATGTTCTGGCAATGCTGGACCAGAAGCCAGGCTGAAGGAAACACGTGCTTGCAGCTGAAGCACGTGTAACTGTTGGGCTCTGCGAATGGCGATAGAAAGAGAGAGAGAACTTTGACTTGAGTTGTGCAAAACTAAGGAAGGAAAATACGAGGAAAAGTACGGCAGGGAGGTTAACGAGTCTCCAGGCAGCCGGTTTGCTACCCTTCGCATGGGAGGGAGATGGAGGAGATGAGAGATAGAGAGGGGAGAGGGAAGAGAGATAAACACATCACATTAAGCAGCACACGCGCGCACACTGTCACAGATGCTAAACTAACATTGCCTATATGTGCCGCATAATTTAGCGATTATAAGTCGGCTACATTGTAGGTCAACCCCCAAAGAATGTCTTGGCTAAAAACGAGAAAAGATGGAGGACCCTTACGCTTCGTCTTTAAAAGGTGAACGCGATTGCGATATTCTGTTCCTAGTGTACACTTCAAACACTTAGTGTGTGAAATCTTTTCAAACTTGCTATGTACACGCGACGTAGCCTTAGGGGGTGCAGTAGCGTGTGTGCCTTTCGTAGTGGGTGACTGGTTTTAAACTATGAAGTCAATATGATAATCTTATTTTCTGACGCCCGATGGCAACGTACGCTTGTACCACGCATTACGGCGGCAATGTTTCATGTTGTATTGTGAAAACCTGTATACAGGACGCATCTGTTTGTAAAACACGCAAGTTACTTTGACTGTATTTCCAAGCCGAGGAAAGTATTTTTCCCGCATGAATAACCAGAGGCGTGGCTGTGTGGCTGAACACCCGCTTCCCGTGCAAACAACACGGGTTCGATCACCACTCAGACACAGAATTTTTAATTTCTTATTTGCATCTCTCTCGATGTTTCGGTCACGCAATGATGATTTCTCAGTCGCAAAGAACGACGCTGACGCTGAAACTTCTGCTGAACGAGCTTTTTAACACTTTCGCGTTAAAAGAGCGCATTTTCTAAAGAGAACTCATTTACAATGTCGCTGACGACAAACCCGTAATGGGGATTGCAAAGAAGGCGTAACGGCAGGGGTTTAAATACATGCAAAAAAGGTAGCTTGATGGCAATGCGCGGGAACCCATAAGAAATAAAATATTTGACGAAATCGTTACTGACGGTTCTGGTTATACAAGTGAAAATGCGGTGTATCTTGCAGGTTAAGCCCAAACGTAAGCAAACAGTGGCAACCATGTCAACATTCCTGACTGCTCGTTTGTTTCGGTTGTAAGTCGACCTCCGACTACCGATTCAAATTTTATATAAAATGGATCGACCTGCAGTTGCGCAAATGTACTTGAACAACTGTGCGTGAACTCGGTTGGCTCGGGTTTTCATCGTATACGATAAAAACCGGAGCCCATCCCGAAAAAACCAGAACACGAAACTTGAGTCTGTGTGTACAATTTCTCCTTAACAAGCCCGTATATACGAGTATTATGAAGTCTTGGTAGTCTTGGCTGCGACAGCGTTTATTTGAGGAAAGACCTCGCAAAACGAACGGGCAGAGCCAGCACACAGACGATGACGATGATGATGAACCAGAGTGGCAATGAGGGCAAAGAGACAAGCGGATGATGGTGATTGTGATTATGCAGGGATGAGGACGATGTAAGTTACAAATGCCCACACTAATTCCCCCCCACTTGAAAGCGGACACCCTGGCCGCCGTAAGTCAAAGTGATGGGGAACGTCGCGTGAAAGGTTTCATGCGACAAACGTGTACAATCTCTGTGCTGCGGTAGCGGCGGTCTGTTGGGGCGACGAGTGGTGTCACACGATAATTAACCGGCGAAGTCTGTTCTAAAACAATGTATGGCCCGATGAAGCGTGGTTGGAATTTGTCACAGAGACCAGGAGTGCGAATAGGTGTCAAAAGCAGCACCTCGTCACCAGGTTGGAAAGACAACGCGGTGGGATTCGTCATAGATGATCTTCCGCTCGTGCTGTCTCGCTTCAGTATTGATGCGAGCCTGATGGCGAGACTGGGCCAGGCGGGAAATGTATTCTTCGCTAGAAGACTGACATGAATTCCCATGGCTGCTAAAGAAGGAGACGTCGAGAAAGGTAGTCGGGGTGCGTCCGTACACGAGGTAAAACGGTGAGTAGCAAGTTGTTCGCTGAACGGCGGTGTTGTAAGCGAATGTCAGGAATGGTAAAAGAGTGTCCCAGTTTTGTGGTCGGGTTGGACGTAAACGGCTATCATGTCTGCAAGGGTTCGGTGAAATCTTTCTGTGAGACCATTTGTCTGAGGGTGGTAGCTTGAAGCTGTCTTGTGAGTAGTTCCAGATGCGCGCAGTACTTCATTTACAACTTGTGACAGGAACACTTTGCCGCGGTCACTAAGCAGTACACGAGGAGCCCCATGACGCAATATTATTGCGTGAAGAATAAAGTCTGCAACTTCCACAGCTGAGCCTGTAATAACAGAGGAAGTCTCAGCGTAGCGTGTCAGGTGGTCCACGGCAGTCACTATCCATCGTTTGCCAGCAGATGTGACGGGGAGAGGCCCGTAAAGGTCAACACCTACAACCTCGAACGGCATTGAAGGGCACGGAAGTGGCTGTAGAGGTCCAGCAGGTGCCGACGTGGGGAGTTTACGACGCTGGCATGGGTAGCAGGAACCGACGTACCGAGCTACACTAGAAGAAAGGCCAGGCCAGTAATAACGACATCGAATGCGGTCAAGAGTTTTTTTAAAACCAAGATGACCAGCAGTCAAGTCGTCGTGGAAGGCTTCGAGCACCTGAAGTCGGAGAGAGCGTGGCAGTACAGGAACCCAGCGCTGACCGTCAGGGTGGTAGACGTGGCGGTGGAGAACCCCATTGTCCAGCCTAAAGTGCAGGAGTTGACGACGGAGTCGCGCGTTTGGTGGATGAGAAACTCCCGAAAGGTGGTCCATGATGCGTCTGCAGTATGAATCGGACCGCTGGCGGGAGATAAATGTTGGCTCGTCATCCGAAAAGGGTTGCGTTATTGATGCGAGCGTATGAAGTCTTGGTAGTCTTGGCTGCGACAGCGTTTATTTGAGGAAAGACCTCGCAAAACGAACGGGCAGAGCCAGCACACAGACGATGACGATGATGATGAACCAGAGTGGCAATGAGGGCAAAGAGACAAGCGGATGATGGTGATTGTGATTATGCAGGGATGAGGACGATGTAAGTTACAAATGCCCACACTAATTCCCCCCCACTTGAAAGCGTTCCCCATCACTTTGGTATGGAGACACGTTCATTTCGTTTCGATACGTTAAAAAGTGGGTGCTACGGTCAGCTACTCCTTATTTCCCTCCCGTTCAGGGTAGCAAGCCGTGACTAACACTCGTATTCACAAACGTTGGTGTTGCTAAATTGTTCCGCGAGAGGTACTAGGGAGACTGAAAGGTAAGGTGACACACTGCTTAAAGATATATTCATCCTTGCTTGCTTTGACTGTTTACTTATTTCTTGCGCCCGTTCCAATTTGTCTTATAAGATTCTACCATTCTAAATAGATCCACACCTCGATGACAAACGTTACAAAGCTCGAAAATTCAAAAAAAAATTAAAGCAAGCGAAGAAGCATGACGAGGCACCTACTCTGGGGCGGAGCAGCGGTAGGGTTTCCAAAAACTCACACAAAATCATGCACATGAAGCTCCAAAACGTTGTGAACAATAATTTTGCTTGCAAATTCCCAAGAAGAGGCCAAGACGCGATCGACCATTCAAGGCGGCGGTTGAAGATGCCGATGAGTTGTTTGTTTGCGACACTTTAAGGCGAGCGGGCGGTCGTTAACTTAATGGGCATAGTTTACCTCGCGTCACCTACAGAAAGCAGGTAATTTGGACGCCCCATTACTTCCGAGCGATTAGCCTGGGAATAATTTGGCCCTCGCCTAAACGATTGCTGCGCAAAAGTATTTCGAAACCCGAATAAAATCGATGTTCTTACGACTATTCGCTGCTTACTCGAAGACACGGTATGCGAGTTCGCGACGGTGAAGTAGAAATAGGACGCGCTTTTGTGAACGCGTGAAACAACAACGACCAAGAAGAAACTGGGATAGAGGCATTTGAACCTGCGCTACAATTGAGAACGCTTCCTAGCGGGAAATTCGAACAACATTTTACGTCTGTGCTCTTCGAGGCCAAAAAAAAAAAAGGAATTTTGCTTCGCGCCTCTCACAGCGGAGCAATCAAACTGTGTTGAAGTCACAGCAACGACGAAGCAAGAAAATAAATTTCGACTATAGGCCTAGCTACACTCCACGTTGACTAATTCATTCGCGCTTTCGCCCATTCTAACGTGAAGAGGCCACATCGCAGTACCACGTCTTGAGGCCACCGAACAACCGACGCTCGAGCGACGAATTCAGTTCTACGCCGCAAAGCGAAGACCAGTTTAGAAAAACAAAAAAAAAGAAACGCGAGAATCTCTAGCGTAGGGAAGAACATCGATCACTTAATAGTGATAGATTAACACCGCTCGAACGGCTAATAATTGCTTTCCGATGTCGCTCGCTCGCGCAGGCACTCTTCCGGCTCACCTATACAGCGTTGTACACCCTACGCAGCCCTTCTTCCCGCTATCCCATCCTCTTTCCGAGTGTTCCCCATTCGGGACACCAAAGACTCCACGACCGCATCTCGAGTTCCCTCAATCCCCTCTCCTTTCCTCGAATATCCTTTGGGGAAAGAACGCTTCCCTTTCTAACCTGTTTTTCTCTCCCTCACACTCACCTCGCTCACCCCAGATAGCGTGCCGCTGTCTCCGTTTCCCGGAGTTATCCTACAAGACAATTAGCGCCCTCCGCGTATAACGGGAGAACCATCTGCCACCTGCCGCCGTCTCGGTTGTCCCTCTCCCACTCCCTTCGCGGCAGAGCGTACCGCAATCCTCTTCGTTTGGGGAAAGCAGAAAGGAGTGTGGGGAAAAGGTCCCGAGGTACAAATACGGCAGCGAAGGAGGGGAAAGGAAAATGACGAAAGGGAACGGGTCGTTCGTCACGAGCGCTCGTCGGAAAAGTCGTTCGCGGAGAGTAATTAATCCCGGAATGAGCGATGC